TATCAAAAGATATAGCATCTGGGGTCTTAAAGGCTTGAAGATAAACAAATGGCCATCTAGCTGAGAAGCAACAAAGCCAACATGGAAGCAGCACACCAGCCTATGTGATCATGGGGTGCTAATGGGATCAGGTATCAAAGAACAAAATATCATTGTGATGAGGGAGAGAGAGGAGTGAGGACCCAAAGTCCACCTGTAGGCAACAGGACATCATCCCCTTACAGCAGAGTTGCGGGGAGGAGCGGAGCCAATCAGGGTGTAGGATAGCAATGATAAAACAACTTTCCTCTAGCTCTTTAATGCTTCCTCTCCCCTACTACCATGATCCCAATTCTACCTTACAAATCCGGCTAGACCAGAACATGTACACTGGTACAGATCAGAGTTGGAAACACAGGGAATCCAGGACAGATAAACCCCTCGGAACCAATAATGAGAGAGAGCAAGAGGGTAAGAGGAAGGTGGGGGATAAAGGCGAGACCAATTACAAGGATTTACATATAACCCCCTCCCTGGGGGATGGACAACAGAAAAGTGGGTGAAGGGAGACACTGGTCAGTGTAAGACATGAAAATAATAATTTATAAATTATTAAGGGTTCGTGAGGGAGGAAAGATAGGTGAAAAAATGAGGAGCTAATACCAAGGGCTCAAGTAGACGATGGGCTCAAAATGACGGTGGCAACAAACGTACAAGTGTGCATGACACAATGGATGTATATATGGATTGTGATAAGAGTTGTATGAGCCCCTAAAAAATGATTAAAAAATAATGATGTTATGGTTGGGAGTCACCACACGAGGAACTGTATGAAAGGGTCGCGGTTTTAGGACGGTTGAGAACCACTGCTCTAGAGCATGAAAGATAAAAAGTGCACCCAAGAAGCCAAGAACCTGCAGAGAAATACATGGATGGATTCTTTACTGCTGCATCATGCTTAAAAGGCAATTACAACATCTGAATCTGTGCCGTAGTGGTTTCAAAGCTGTAAAACAGAATGCTGTTTCATATACTTACATATGTATTTATTTCTATGTTAGTGTGTATTGGAGAATGGAAGTAACAGTAATAGTTGTGATATATGTTAAGCATCTACCATGTGTTAGACATTCCATTCATATTAACTCATTCAATCCTTACAACTGTTAAGAAGCAAGTTGTTAATATCTGTACATCTTCATTGTGCAGATAAGAAAAGAGAACGTAAAAAGCTTAGATCAGTTGACTAAGGTCATAAAAACAGTAAGTATATGACCTCAAAAGTATATACTTTTTTTTTTTAAGTATATACTCTTAACCACGGTATCGTATATATAAATATAAACTAAAAACTCACTGCCATTGACTTGATCCACACTCAGCAACCCTGTGAGTTTCTGAGACGGTAACTCTTTAAGGGAGTAAAAAGCCTCATCTCCCTGCAGAGTCTCGTTCCAAAGTGTTAGCCTTGCGTTTAGCAGCCCCAAACGGGCTCCCCCATATAACCAGGTATAATAGGTTATTAATTTTAAAGACTATTAAGTCTTCTCTGTGTCACAGACTTGAAATTCTACTCTGCACACGTGGAGTCACCCCGAGGCGGTCAATAGCGTCCCCATCTGAGAAAAAGTGTCCTCTCACCACTCAGCTTGTTTTCTCTGTTCTGCCAACTCGTGGAGCCGCCGAAGGGCCTTTTCCTGTTTCTTCTCATCCTTGCGGGATCTGGAGGAGACATTTCGAGCAAACTCTCTCTGCTTGAGATCTTTCAATCTCTGGGGTAACAAAGAAAGGAAAAGAGGGTAGATGGGTTAGAATGCCATTAGGATCCTGACAGTGAAGGCTTTAGAATATTTACTCTCAACCAATAGTTACAAGGCTGGTGTAAAATACATATTGTACTTCATTGTAATTGAAAATACAACGGCAAATTAAAAATACTCTGGGCAAAAAACACTTAAGGGTACCTGCACTTCTATTTAGGACAACCTATCACTTGATTTACTGGGCAAAATGAAATGACTTTGGAAGCAAAAAGCAAATTCTAGAACACTGGGGAGAAAAAGGGACTACTTCATCACCTGCTCTTCCAGTATGCAAGACTAGACACAGAGAGCATGAGCTAAGTCTTAACAGAGGCCAAAGAGAACAGAGAGGGATTAGGCTAGTGCAGAAAATTACCCAGGAGTGAGATCATAAAAAGCAATGTACAGCTTACATGGGGAGGTTAGTTTATGTAATCAGAACTCACGGAGAAAGCAGACTTTATTTCACCATAGGTGTGATTCTTTCATTTCAACATGAAGAGATATTTCCTGTTACTATTAAATGAACCCTTGAGGTCTTCCAATGCTAGCATGTTCAGAGCTCACCAGTCTGACCACTGTCACCTGATCAGTCTGCTAACATTAGAAAGCATGTGTGTGCTTTTCACTTGTTCATGGCCCTGAGGAGGACAGCCAGGGGGATGAGGAAGGAGATCAACACAGCCAAAGAAATTAGTATTTACAATTCAGATAACAGAATTTGTTATTTCTAGTTTTTGTCTGTTATTTGTGTTTCTTAAAAACAAAAACAAAATCAGAAAACAAAACAAAAGCAAAATCCCAACAATTAAAAGAAATACAAACAAGCAAAAAAACCCCAACAATGTAACAACATACTGGCGACAGAGTCCAGACATATCTACTTGCAATGAAGACAGAACAAAAATTATTCCCAACACACCAAATAGTACAAAGAGCAAATAAACAAAACATACTCCAGGCTGTACTTTCACAAGAGCACTGTAAGAGGAACTTGACCCAATATAAAGTGGACATTGCTTTGTGGAAAGGCACGATGTTCAACAGACAGTGGGTTTCTTACCTACTACTACTTACGAAACGTTTTCAATTTTTATTGAACTGGGAGGAGACAAGGGTGGGAAGACACACACAAAAAGGATATACAGCTAAAGACACTAGTAGAAAAACTCACTCTTGTGATCTGGGCTCCCAAATTAGAAGGATTTGCTTTCAATACATCAGCTGAAAATGTCACATCACAAAGAAAAAAAGTAAAAAATAAAACAAGAGTGGAAGAGAAAAAAAAATAAAGCAAGCATTACTACACAAGCTCTCTTAGTGAATCTGCAAACTATTATATTGAACAATTAGGGGACGAGGCATCAACTCTAAAAGGGTTGGGGCGGAGGAAAGCACCCATACAACACATAAAAGTACACACACACACAAACACACACACATATACAGTAATAATTCCATCTTGGTAAATGGGAGTATCTGTATTTCTTAACAAAAAAATGGTTCCAGACATTTGGAAAAATAACCACAGCTGTCCAAAAGTGGTCGGTCCTGGATTTGTCATTTACGTTTACTCTGAGGGCAGTTCAAGTAATCAGCAGGTGAAAAAACTACTTCACGCATGTGGAGAGCCCAGAGGTAATATTTTTAGAAAACCATTTCAAGATTTTAAAAGCATTTTAAATAGATATGAATCCTAATCTCCTTCCATGGGGAATGGTCCTGAGGAAAAGAAGCCATGGAAACTTCCATGTGGTTATTTTAGGCCACAAACCTACTTTTCCTCTCTACTCTCTGACCAAGTTTAAGTAGAAAAAACGTTTTATTTCCCAGCCTCTCGCTAGCCACCTCTCGAAAACCTGGAAAATCTGCCCATGCCCAGTCTTTCCTTCTCTCATCAACATTTTTAGGAGGTGTTTCCTAAATTATAGGACACTATCCAAAAAGAGCAATCATTTTCTCAAACTCCAGTCTCATGCTAAGGGGGTAGAGCCATGTGCACAGTACCCTGAAGAGAGCCTGTCTCAGATAAACAGTGGTAAGGCTATGGAGTGGCGTGGAAGCCATCCTAGTACTGTATAGGCTGTAGCCAACACTCAACTACCACCTTCATATCTTCATAGTTAACGTCTGGTCTCAAAAGCAGAACTGGGAACACCAGAATTTTAATCCGAACACCTTGGTGGCAGGGCTCAAGGTTCACCCATCACCCTCAACTCAAAATGCGTATTTGAGGTCTCTCTCAGGTGAGAACATTCTGAACAAACAAAAAACCATAAGGGAGTTTTAGAATTTACCATTTTGTCTACCTAGAATGTCTAACTCCAAATTTCCTCATGCACAAGGTCAAACTAAAGTCCCCTCACAAAATCTTAACTAACCCCTCAGGGGAAAATGTACTTATTCCTTATTTTTGAATGACCTTCATACTTTGCATACACATTTCTTAACCAACCATCGCATTTTGGTGCTTCACAGAAAGTATGTTCTGACTTCAGAGTCAGAACCACTTGGGTTCAAATCCATTCATTACTAGTCAAGGGACTTCACCTCTCTGACATCAAGTTACCACATTAGAAAATAGTTAGCTATTAGTAGATTTATGAGATTGTCAAAGTAAAGGTAAAGCACTTAGCAAGTCACAACTGTTCCAACACTGCTCCCCTTCTTGGTACTAGAGCTCATCTCTGTAAGGAACCATGAAAAGCATGTAATAGTACTGAATCTACAGACATTGCTTGGTGATTAACAAACAGGCTTAAATGTGGGATACATAATTTTTCCCAAATAAAAATTCTACCATTTGTAACAAAAGTTAATAGGAAATAGTTTCACCTACTAGGGTCATGGAGGAGTCCTGGAGGCCCAGCAATTGGCTAACTGGAAGGCCCACTGTTTGTGAACCCACCAAGCTGCTTTGTGGAAGATGTGGCTTGGTCTGTTCTGTAAAGATTACGATACTGGAAACCCTATGCTAAAGGGCTCCCAGGAGTTTGAATCAACTTGATGGCAATGGATTTACTAAAAAACAAACAAAAACCTTACTGCTATGGAGTCAACTCTGACTCAGGGGGTACTAGGGACAGAGTTTTCAAGACTTACAATATGGTCTTCCTAGCTATTACTGTGAACTAGGAGGGAGGCTAATTCTTGACAAAACACAAACCCTAAAAGCTTACTCCTTACTTCACGGCAGAATAGAGCCAAATATCAAAAGTGGTATTGACCAAAATTCATTTTCAGAAATGCTGTGAGCTGCCACAGAGATGTGGCACCTGCCTCATGGTGAGGCCATGTACAAAGGAACAAAATGCTGCCTGGTTCTGTGCCATCACCATGATCATCAGTTACAATTCTCACACTGTGATCCATAAGGTTTTCATGAGCTGATATTCAGAAAAGCAGCCATAAATCTTTCTTCCTAGTGTGTCTTAGTCTAGAAGCCTGGGGAAACCTGCTCAACAGCATGGCAACATGCAAACTCACACCAATAAATAGGTGGTATCTGCACTGGCTGAGAGCTGAATAAAGGCTCACCAAACCACCCTTTGTTAAAGGTATAAGCCCCTGATCAGATTCAGGCTTCCCAACCTTGCAAATTTTATTCCAAAAGACAAGCCTGACTCATTTGCCACTGAATGTGCAGATGGAATTCTGTTGGATTAGCACGTTGATTTTCTTTGTTCTAAAGGTGGACCTAACTTCAGATAGCTTCTTTAGACATGTCATCAACCCCCACCCAAAAAAACCTGTCAGGCTGAGCACATTATATACCATAAACAAAAATTCAAGTTATACTCCAAATTGAAACAGTCTGAAGGGATGAAATTTATGATTTAAACTACAAGGTTACAATGCTGCTATATCTGAAAATTATAAAATGCTTTCAAAAGAGTTGTTCGTGAATTTGCTTATTTTGGTGAATATCCCTTTACTCATGTTTTTAATAGACTTTTAAGCCAAAAATTCTCATTTATAGCTGAAAATACTTAAGGAATGAAACCAATTCAAAATGACCTTGACAACTCTATTTTGCTGGGGGGCGGGGGGGAAATGAACAGCATACTTTTTAAAAAAAGCTTATTTTTGGTATACAGAATGGTAGCTGGGATTTCTATTAAACTTGCCCAAAGATTAGTAGAGGTCTTTTGACCCAGTACTTAACTGTAGCACTTTGGGATAAAACCATTTCAAAAGTGACCTTCCAATTCAGATAGCAGTTACATAGCTGTTACATAGTTGACAGAAAATGTATTCTAGATCGAAATTCCCGTTTATCATCTTCTTACTCTTAAACAAGTAAGCCAGGGGCAGGAGACTCTGGTAATCTTAACAGGCAATTAACATGGGTAATAAATTTGTCGAAAGGATCACCCAGCATTTCTCTGAAGTGCAGACACCAGAAGCAAAAACATCTGCCTCATGATGATGGAAGTAGGACAACTCAGCTTTGTAGAAGACCATTTTTAAAACGATCCTCAAGAAATATGTTTTTTCTCTATAATAGGTTGAGAGGTTTTAAGCAAGTGATTGCCTTGTCAATAGCAAGAAGTGACTCTACTTTAGATTGTTTGAGCTGGGGATGAATGGGCACATAAATTGACTACATTTTCTCCTAACAAGAAAATACAAGCCCGGCTCCAGTCAAGTCTTTTGGTACCTTCTGGTGCTACCCTATTCACTAGTAAAATAAAATTTGATACTAGAAATTTACACTTGCTTTTCAGTTCACTTTACTCAGAATACATGTGATCATTATCTTTCTCAAGTATTTTAAATAACCAATTTAAAATTAACAAATTGTTCCCATGTGAAATGAATTTCAGGTATGAAAGAAGAATGGAGGAAAGAGTATTTCTTATTGCCAACCGGAATTCATGTTTTATATTTATTCAGCTCTGAAGGGAAAAAACCCGATTTTGTCTCTGTAGAGTCAAAAGATCATCCATGGTTTCTTTATAGCAACCCTCCTGAAGCACAGGCTGAGGTTTAATTTCCCTTTGTAACTCACCCTTCCTACAGTGAACATACCATTGTCTATGGTGCAGAAGAGATGTCCAACAAACATTTATCAAACTGGTTTCTGTTCTACAATTAGTTGGGAGAGGAATGTTAGGAGAACACACCACCACTCACCCATCCCTAGGCATCATTTGCCAACAGAGAGGAGTGAGTAGCAAAAGGGTGGTTGTTTGGACCACAAAAACTTCTTTCTGGCTAAGCGTAATGCAGCTTCTTAGAACCTCAAAGTCTACATTTCCTCTGACGCCAACAATTCTGCATACCCACGTTCCACAGCCTCTCCCCTCACTGTGTCTTCATGCATTTCTCCTATCACAGTATTAGCATAGACCTCCTCTCCCCTCCCAGACTTTGTCTTACATACTTTGGACAGACTAGCCCTCCAGAAGGACCTCAATGTTTAATAAAGTGGAGGGGCAGCAAAAAAGAGGCAGGTCCTCAGGGACATGGATTGACACAGTGGCTGCAGCAATGGGATCAAGCATAGGAACAATCGTAAGGGTGGTTCAAGACTGGGCAGTGTTCTCTTCTGTCGTGCACAGGGTAGGACTGCTTTGATGGCACCCAACAATAAGCTCTTCCCTCCCAAATTGGAGTACTCATGCTGCAGTTGGCAGCGGCCAGATTACCCTGATTCTAGTCCACCCAGGACACCTCCATGTGGTAAACAGACACAGGAGAGAGCATCAGTCTCAGCATTGAAACACTCAAGGAAGAAAGATTATTTTGGCTCCTGTGGA